GTAGTGACCTATTAAAATAAGCGCACTGTTTAAAATAAAAAATAATAAACTTGTTTAAAAGCAAATAAAATAACGATTTACTTATAACGCGTATCATTATTGTACAGTGTGGCTTAATTTGGAGTTACAAATACGTCTTTGAACTCTAAACTAAACAAAACTTGTATTTCAAGTTTTCACGTCGATATTCCAAAAAGAGCTTCAGTTGTAAAGAAATCACAATTTCGAGAACCAAACTAATCACCCTACATCTCTGCAATGAGCGATATTTTACTCAGACGTGTTTGGTCCAATAGGCAAGTTTTGGCAGCTAAATTTTATAGCCTTAACTTTTGGTAAACCTCACATTACCATTACATATAATTTAAGACCGCATCCTGTACTAAACAAATTGATAAGTATTGAAAAATTGCAAAAATTGTGAAATATTGCATTACATGAAAAATATTAGTTGGGAAATAATCATCACAAAATATTTTAATGCATTAAAAAAAAGCACAAAAGTTTTATCAAATTATACTGGAGATGCTGGCCCATTGCGAATTGTTTCCTGATTTTCAGGCGGCCAGATCCACGACATAAAACTCGAGCGTCCCGCCTCCGCCCCATATGTCGACCGTTTCGCCTGTCCCGGATGATTTAATGGCTTTATAATTATCGCGACTTCGTAATTTAACTGTAATTGGGCTGCATTAACCCGGCAATAACAGGGCTCGTGGGTTACTGTCAATATTTGTTTCGAAATAATCGGCCGCCGCCGCCGCCGGAAGATCGACCGGAATGACATTTTTTACGTCGTACGTGATCGACCGCCTCCGGACAAACTCCGTTTGAAATGACAGCGACCGGAGCGGCAATAACGACTTATGCGATAGAAGCTTCGACATAATTTAATGAGGGCCTGGCACATTTTGTTCAGACGTGCTTCTATTGACGGATTAAATATGAATTGACGTGAAATGTCGGATTTTTTAGAGCCGTTACAAAAATAATATCATAATTATATAGACAGCTTGTCTTCGGAAGGTCTTACCGATTCTGAAAATTTTTAATTATTAACTTTATGAAAAAAATTGGCTCTTCCTAAAAAGTCCTGCCTGGAGTGAGAAAATCAATTTGCAGCAAAATATTTGTATCTTGGATATCAGCTGAACGCAGCTCAAGTTGTCTTATTCTTGCCTTCTCTTATCTTAAAAAAGCTCAATATCAAGGTGGAATTAATTATTTATAATCGTCGGAGAGAGATCTCATTTGTTTACCACAAACAGTCAATGCAATTTTTTACCTGAATTAGACCAATAATTTTTTCGCTTGTTTGATGAAAAATGTTCTTGTCTTCAAGCGAATATTCAACGAAGAGACCACGGCAGGTACTTGACCATTGGAATTGTTGCTCCACAGAGCTAGATTAGTTGAAACGGATTTAGATGAGGAAGGAATATTCCTAATGGAGTGACAGCTGCTATTATTAGATCTGAATCCCATATCATCAAATGTTTGGAATGATTTCACTAGCGCAATGCGTCAGCAAATATACCCCTAAAGAATAATGACCCAATTTGTTCAGACGTCCTTCTATTGACGGATTAAATATGAATTGACGTGAAATGTCGGATTTTTCAGAGCCGTTACAAAAATAATATCATAATTATATAGACAGTTTGTCTTCGGAAGGTCTTACCGATTCTGAAAATTTTTAATTATTAACTTTATGAAAAAAATTGGCTCTTCCTAAAAAGTCCTGCCTGGAGTGAGAAAATCAATTTGATAGGATAGCTCCAAAAAGTCCCGAGTATACATTTAACAAAAGCCCTTGGCTATATTTCCAGAACTATCAGGCGTGCAAAAACGATTAACAATAACCTAAAAAAATATTATTACCTTCAAAAATCATCATATGAGAAGTAATTTGCAGTCTTAAATATCTTCCAGGTGATCAATATCACGGAATGGTAACGCTTGTTGACTAATTCCTTTAAATAACACGTAAAAATCTAGGGCTGCAATGTCCGATGACCTAGTTGGCTAGGGTACTTTTTAAGGGCGCCCTACTATCCATCTGAGTCGGCTGCACTGTGACAAGGATCTTTGTTATGCCGATACCAAAGAGCCTGTGCCGCGTTTAAGTCTCACCAGTAATATTTGGGCGAAACAAATATGGACCCGCTATTTGATTATTTAAAATACCGCACCAAACAGTGGTTTTGAAATACATTTGGCATTCGATTACCTAATTGGGGTTCATATTGATCCATCGACGGTGATTCTTGGAATATACACCACCATCGGAAGCAAATGTAGTCTCGGCACTGAATAAAATTCTCCTTGAAAATGTCTTCGTGAGCATGTGTACAAATTTTTGCTTATACGCATAAAATTCATTTATTCCAAGCATCTTAGAAGCAAAAGCTCTGCACACGCTATCTAGAACTGTATTCTTCATCAGTTACAATGATTGTTTTTTTACATACAACACATGTAACTGATTTTCTTCAGTAAATTTTGTTACTCCACTATGTCGTAATATGTGGAGCATGTGCAAATTTATTTTCTGACCAAGCAGGGCTTTTTAAGAAGAGCCACTATTTTTCGTAAGGTTAATTAATTAAGAACTTCCGAAGACAAACTGTATACACGGTGATGATATAAATTCAATGTAAAATCGGCCCAGAAAAAGCGATGGAAATTATTTTAGAAATTTTCAGATGTTTGGAAACTGGCGTAATGCCAATTTTTTATAATGGAATTGCAATCCTTTTTGTCACTGTTATTGTTATTCATTATTTGTAAATTGTTAACAATACCATATAACTTATAAATATAATATAATAAAAAATTATGAAAAACAAAATCACACTACATTAATCGAAAAAGAATGACTAGTACACCATGATTACTCATGGAACGCAGTTTTAGAAGAATTCATAAACCACAATTGTCAAAAGTTTTCTGCAGAGGGATTTGTTGAGGGATTGTTGATTCAGTTTTTACTAAGTTATCCAGTGTCAAAAATGCCTGGTGCTGAAATGGCTGCGTTTAATAGAGCTTGAATTACTAATGTATTACATTGGGATTACATAGTGTTGACCGGCTAAATATTGCGGAATGTTGAAATAGGAGATGTCATATATGGTCGAGAGAGACTCACAAATGAACGATGAAATCGTTATCTTGCTTAGTGCGCCGGAAGAAATCATTCAGATTCCATTGGAGAACTACGATTTCAATTTCATAATACGTATTATCATGTCAACTCGAACAGTTTCTAGAAGAATTGTTGTTTCTGGATTGCATAGAAGGCAGTCCCTAAAAGTATTATAATGGACTAGGGAATATCAGGACTATCTATTACCTTACTAGAGATGGTTTTTTTCTACCGGTGGGGACAACAATAAGTAATAAATCATGACTATCGACTGATAGTTTGGAGAGAACGAAAAAAACAACATCAGCTTAACGCAGCTCAAGTTGTCTTATTCTTTCCTCCTCTTATCTTGAAAAAGCTCAATATCAAGGTGGAATTAATTATATATAATCGTCGGACAGAGATCTCATTTGTTTACCACAAACAGTCAATGCAATTTTTTACCTGAATTAGACCAATAATTTTTTCGCTTGTTTGATGAAAAATGTTCTCGTCTTCAAGCGAATATTCAACGAAGAGACGACGGGAGGTACATGACTATTGGAATTGTTGCTCCACAGAGCTAGATTAGTTCAAACGGATTTAGATGAGGGAGGAATATTCCCAATGGTGTGGCAGCTGCTATTATTCGACCTGAATGCCATATTATCAAATGTTTGGAATGATTTCACTAGCGCAATACACTATCAAAATAATAAAGCTTCAGCACCTATACCCCTAAAGAATAATGGCCCAATTTGTCTTAAAACACAATAAATAACCTGATAGTAGGCATATATTGACGTGTTTATATTTTGAGGCCGTTTAGCATGGTTCAATGAAGCTAGCAAGAAATTGCACGGTGACATGTGCAATGAAAACACCAAGATCATCAAACGATAACCTGAATGTAACCAACATTGTTAATCAATTTTTCAACTTGTATTTCCTAATTCTGATATTGAAAATAAAAGTGTTATTAGATCTTTCCCCAGAATTGCAACTTGCAGACAAAAAAATTGCATGCAAGTCTTTTGCAAGAATCCATCAGCCGATTTTACTAAATAGAACTTAATTTATAAAATTGAATTACTTTATAATTATCCAAACAAATTAATTAAATAAATGATGAGATCCAGTTTAACAATTTTTCTGCAGTTCTTAATAATTCTTCAAAATCAAATTTTTATGTCACAGCTGAGGTAGGGGTGCAATGAATTTATTTTGAAAAAATGGTACTAGGGAATAATGTTGCTTCTTCATTCATGTTATTGTGGAGAGGGAAATTAATTAATAACTTACTAATATCTAGACAGAGGAGAATTTAGTGCTGGTTACAAAAAAAAATTGCAAAGTTACTGGCTCGTCCATTTTTATCCAGTTTTTCAAAAAAAGTTAAATGATGCGTTTTGCAGATTGAAACAAAATTACTTTTCACTACTGCAATTTCAACTGTAAAACATTTGAAATGAGAATAAGGTAAGTTCGTTTTGAAATTGACAGGAAAGAATTTTATGATTTGTTTTCCATTTTTCGTGACCCTATTTCAGGACATATTTTTTGTTGTCCTCTACAAGAGAGTCTTCGACATGTTATAGCCAATCCATCTAACAAAAGCTTCTGGTCTCAGTGTCTATTTGGTTGAAAAAATAATCCTTTTCTTATAATAAAGAATATTTATTTCCGGCGTGACTTTAGATGAACAAACCTAAAGTATAGGAGTGGGGGTTAAACAGTTTGCGAACTTATCAAGTTCTTGACACCCGTAAATATAATACAGAAAACAAGTGGATTCAAATTTTGAAATTTATATTAAACTTAGTGGAAAAACGGATTCATTCCTTCACAAAAGTAATAAAAAACATTTTTGTTTCAGAGCATGCGTGCACGGAATTCCGATGTACGCTGCGCGAATTCTGCATCTCCACGGACCTCGTCTGCGACGAGGTTAATCATTGTGCTGACGGATCAGACGAATCGTCCAATAATTTATGCCAAAGTAAGTAAAAAATTAACTCGAACTTTACCGAAAGTTTAGTTAAAATATTCGTCAACAATTTCGAATGAAAAAAAGGACACTCAGTGCAACGACCACCCAATGGAGAGAAAGTGGACGTGACGATAATGACAGACATGCCATAATAATTATACAGCGCTCTATAGCCAATTTGCTTAATCGCTGGTACCTGATTATAGTAATCATAATTTGCGTACATCAATTTGTTGAAAAAACGATTTTCAAAATTCGTTTTTCTGGGTTAAAAGGAAACGAATAAAGGACCACCTCTTTAATCGCAGTTCTGTTATTGTGACAGCTATTATACATATATAATAAATGGAATTCAATTTATGGAATTCAGATTTATCAAGCACTATTTATTCATAAGTGGAAAGGATCCAATTTTGCTCCCGATTATTTATATTTATGTCGTATTATATTTATGTCAGTCATGTTGACTTGTTTTAACCACACAATTTTCGACAGATTTGTAATTTTTTCCACAAGCTGATCTTTGCAATATTATAATCAATTACCTTGAGGAATTCGATATCTTTGACTATATATTAGACAACATAGTGCCCCCAAATTTCTAGATCTAGACGCACTTTACCTCTTTTTTCCAGATCATTTAACGGGATCTCGGCATATTTTGAGCCACACCTAAACTAAATACTGACACTGAATGTTGGTTGCTTGTCTTTGATTCCGCTAGAATGCTTGAAAGCGAGGTTTAACATAACCGCGAATGCGCATATTGAAGGGTTCTTCCGAGCATTTTTTCAAGGTGATTTCAAAAGTTCTAAAATTATCAGCATGGGTAGCATCCAGCAGCCATACAGTTTTCAAACGCGCTCATTTGTGCACTTAAGCAGTATGTCAATTTTTTATCTTTTGTACACTTTTAATTGATATTATTTTCAAATCTCTAATGCATGTTGAAGAAAACAGGCAGGTGTCACCATATTTTTTTTCTTTGAATAGTACTTCTTTGGTTGTAAAAAGAAACAGTGGGATTTCAGCAAAATTTTAGTTTTCAGCTAATATGTTTCTGGTGGCAACTTGGCGGATTAAGCAATAGAATTAAAGACAACCATCCGAATGCTGTTAAAAGATTTTCCTCATCTATACGGTGGAAAATAGATAAAGAGAACTCTTTCTATGGAAAATTAAGAAAACAGTTTCAAATTGTAAAAAAAATGTAATTTCTTACTCTTTCTGATTCAAAGTATGTACCATATCTAAAAAGAAAGCAGTAGTTAAGAAAAAAACTTACTGATGGCTCTTATTTTGTACGATCCTCACCACGGCTACAGAGCTTTATCTAGGTTTGTCTCTCTGATTTGAATTTGCAGCTCCGATAAAATAAGAGAGAATCGGCTTTTAGTGTTTTCCTCCACTCCAATTAGGCTCAGATGTTTCTTCAAGCCGAGACTGTCTTTTTGTTATAGTTTCCTACCGATAGACTTCTGAAGAATTCCTTGGCCTGTCTTTGTCCTGACATGTGTCTTACCATTTAATAACTAACCTGTAACCTTTGAGCTTAAATTAACCCTTATTAACCCACATTAATTTTATTGGTTGAACTTCAATTAAAAGCTAAGACGTTTATCATTGTTTCAGACAACGAGAAAAGAACCATCCTGGGACTCGCAGTGACTTGGTTCGTCGTAGTGGTGATCAGCACTGTGTTGGTGTTTCTGGTGCTGATCGTCGCAGTGTCTATTTGCATCTGCCGCCGCGGCTGGAACAGTAGATCTGGCAACGTTGTGCAGCAGCAAAACGCGTCTTATTCGTGTAAGCTGCCAAAATGTGTTTTTGGGATTCAAAATACCTTTAGAATATTTTTTTGGTCGTTTCGCTTAATTTTTATCTTTACCGACATAACAGTGGTTATAATTCCTATGAGTAATGAGGAACAATGTTTTTTTGCTAAATAGTTTTTCTTAAGTTTTTTGGTTATGACGTGAAAAAGTACCACCATTTGTTGCCTCACCCTTAACCTCCTATACCAGATTTACGCTAATTAATGGCACATAGCATAAATGGAGATTCTTGTCGTTAAAATATCGTGATTTAACCAAACAAATCGAATCGAACTTGCTGACGTTTCGCCAATCTTGTTAGTTTCTTGAGAACTTAACTGAAACTTTAGAAATATTTGTAAATAGTGTTGAAGTTTTTTAAATTGAAGGGAGAAATTCAAATCCGTTCTTAGTTTGGATGCCACTTACGGTAAATTAAAAATATCTTTAAAATGACCTGTTGTACAGTTTTAATATTGACTCTTAATTGACGCTTAAGTGCCATGTTTTGGGGCGTTTTTGTTGAAATTTTGACAGGGCAGTTCATAGAGTGTTTCTCACTTAAGAAGTGTACACTCGTAAGAAAATCTTTGATTATGGTTTGACTTTTATAAACATTTTTTTGTTGAATAAATCTCTGGAAAACGCACTGTTTTGATTGTTGCTTTAACTTAAAGTCATGGCGAACTGTATTACGTATGTATGTGTATCTACGTATTATTAGGGATTTTAAAAAATGGCAACGAATTCTAATTCAGGAGTACTTAGAACCCAACTATACCAATTTTCATAATGTTTCAATGCAGGGTGTTTGAAATATTGTTTGTACCCCGCTTAAGGCACATCGTTGCAAAATCTTTGATTATGATAATTTTTTTGTTGGATAGATCTCTCATAAGCATACTAAAACCTTATTTTCCTTATTACATTAACCTGAAGTCGTGACCAACTGGCACTAATTTTAGATGACAGTAATCGAAAAAGGCTATTAGGGATCTCTTTAAGAATAAAGTGTCAACGAATTCTTAACACCTAACTATACTAATTTCCGTGAACTTCTAAAACAGGCTGCTCGAACTGCGGGCTCAATTTTGATAATTCTTTTTTTGTTATATAAATTTCACTGAGAGACACTAACGATTTGCTTAAAATTAAATATGATTAGAGAAGATTAGATATGAACGAAACAGACTTTACAACGCTGGATTTTTTTATTTTTATCTAATAATGAAAGTGACAGAAATATCAAAATTGATCGACATACTGTTTACTTTGTAAAACCAAGTGTGCCACGGAACCTTTCGAATTCTAAGGTTTATTAATGCTTTTTTTTTGTATGTCCCTTAAAAAATATTTTTGAAATTTGTATAACTAAAATTTGTAAGATCTTAAAATCATATACAAAATCGTTATTTATAAGGTTTACAATATTTATTTTTTTTTAAACATTAAAATCTTTGGTTGTTGGTCTAGTTACTTTTAGGTAATCCTGAATACGGAACTGTTGTCATTTTCAAATTGAAAAAAATCTCTAAAAGAACTTCTCGATTTTCTGTCAGTGGCGTTTAATTTCTCTTTGATAAGATCTATCCAGTAAAAAAGACTTATCAAAATTAGTATAGCTAGGTTTTATATAGTCGTGAAT